TGCAACGATGACAACACGTATAGAGACAAGAGAGAGAGAGAGAGAGAGAGAGAGAGAGAGAGAGAGAGAGAGAGAGAGAGAGAGAGAGAGAGAGAGAGAGGGAAAGAGGATGGAGAAACAAATTATCATAAAACATATGTATTTATACGTCAATCTCGCGCACTCATTCTCGTATAAATTTATAACGGAAACGGCGAAGCTCGTTCGTAGCAATATTTTGAAGAAGACAAAATTTGTCGTCTTTTCAAGACGAGAAATTGGTATATATATATATATATATATATATATATATATATGTATGTATGTGTGCGCGCGAGCGAGCGAGCGTGCGTTGTTAACGCGAGCGAGAGAGCATGTCCGCATATACGTACGCGTGTATGAAAAATTCGATGTGAAAGGGGTGAAGGGCGATAGAAAAAAAAAAAATGAAAGATTAGAGTGGGGGTTGCGAAAGGCGAAAACCTATGCACGAACGCATGACATATGTCTCGAGAGGTCAGGCCGTGTTCTATACGTGCGCTCTCGATACGTGTCGACGATCACGAGTTTCCAGCGCAGCGCAGTAGAAAAAGAAAAAGTGTATGATGTGTGTGTATGTGTATATGTGTGAAAGAATATAACGATGTATGCTGTATGTTCGTATGTATGTGTGTGTGTGTGTGTGTGTGTGTGTGTGTGAGAGAGAGAGGAGAGAAAGATACATGGGCAAAAGAGGAGGGAGAGAGACACGATTGTCTAGGAATATTATGCGATATAATTCGAAAAAGAAAGGCGATTTTCATTGCAGATAACGAGAGGCATGGCGTTTATTGAAAAACATTACACATGTATGTAACATTAGAGATAAATATGTGGCGTATGGCCGATATTTTCTAATGTTCACGACGATAGAAAGTACCATAAAAAGGAATTGCAATGTCGGCTTGAAACGATGTATTCGCCTTCCCTTCTAAGTTAGTAACTAAAATGGATGATTTCGTAGTGATGTCGAGTTAAAGAAGAAATCGTATATTCTGATTTCTGTTTGCATTAGAAATAATCTCAAACGTATGGATGATGTTTAAAGTCTAAACCGTTAATATATATATATATATTTTTTTTTCCCTTCCATAAACAAACGTTAGAATAGATCCTGAGTAAAATCTAGAAAAATTCTTACGAAATATCGGAGGGAGAATCGATCAGTTCTCTCTCTTTTCTCGTTGTTGAGAGAGACAGGATACTGACCAAAGGAGGAAACGTCACGAGGAATCGAGAGGGAGAGAGAGAGAGAGAGAGAGAGAAAGAGAGAACGGTGTACCATAGAGATCTCACGAGGCAACAAGGACGCGTGACAGTCGTGTTTCGAGAGCGTTGCATGTCGATATGCATCTGGCATCGTCGTGCGTCGCCCTCGACGACGCGAAACCATTAATATTTTTGCACTTTCTTCTCAAAGCCGTAAAGAGAGACAGAGAAAGAGGGAGAGAAATGCGGCCGTTATAAGTCATGCCCTTATCGAGGCACACGGCTGAGAAAATTTCTCTCAATCTCTTTCTTTCCTCGTCAGACCTTTTACGAAAAAAAAAAAAATAAAGAGAAAAGGAAGATGGACTGACCTCGGCTGCTTTGAGAAGCTGCGCGTAGTTGAACTCGGGGCATGCCTTCTCGTTCGACTCTGGCAGAGTGAGCGTAAAACGGAAGGAGGGCGCAAGCTGTTTGCCCTTCTCACCCTTTTTCTCCTTCTTCGCGGCGTGGCCCAGGGACTCCGGAAACTCCAGGGTTTGCAGGGGTACCCGTTTAACCTCTGACATTCCTACATTTGCACCGAGCTCGATTGCGTATCACGGGAAACACTGCGTTGGCCGCGGCGACAACATGGTCCCTTTCTCTTCTTAAACACTACACCGACACCGCCACTCGCACGTCGCCATCTTCGGCACGACTGTTTTTAGAGTGCGCTGCTGACGCCGCTGCTCCTATTATCGCCGCCGTCGCCGCCACTATCGTATGCGCGCGCAAAACTATATTAAAACGGTATAGCGCAACCCGCACTCATTTTAAATATATCCTTATTCCATTACTTTCATTTTATTCATATTATTCTTTTTCTTAAGCTTTTTCAACAAATAATATATCAATGATATATTAAAGTAAATAATTATAAATGATTAATTATAAATAATTTTATTAAACAAAGATTTGATAACGAAAATGTATTACAAAGTTATACTCGCAAGTACTTAAAAAATATTTTAATGCGGATATACATGAATCTCGTAAGGTTTTCTAAAACTTCGATTGGTTTAAACGAAACATTTGCTTTATATTATCATTGGCGATAAAATGATACATTTTCTTAAATTTTTGGACAAATAAAATTTGCAATAAATGGACATTAATATAAATTTTTCAAACATATATATATATACAAACATATATATATATATATATATATATATATATATATATATATACATATTTGTGTGTGTGTGTGTATAGGAAGATTGATCGAAACTTAAGGAAATCTTGCGTATTCTTTATTACGATATTTTTTTATAAGTTTACATACAATGATCGCGTTTTAATTCTTATGTAAAAACATGTGTCTTTATGTACTATGATCTAGTTCATTTTTGTATATATAACTTAACATATCTCACATTGACGTGCCTGCAATAGTAAGATTAAATATGTGATTATGATATACATAATTTCACATAAGACTTTCTATAAAATGAATATATATTCAATCAAATGAATCTTTGTCATTATCAGCATTATTATCATCTTCCTTTGCTATTTTAATTGCTGAAAACTTTTTCCCTAAAAGTTTCATCACCTCTGCATGGTTTAAATTCTTGTTCTTTTTCACAGAACTATAATTTTCTTTTACATAAAGTGCAAATGCAGATGGTTCTCTTTTTGGTGTTTGCATTTGGACTGTACCAGATTTCGTTGTTTTGTTGACGAATAATTCAAATTTACCATTACAACATTCACATCGTTTGTTTTCAATGTCTAAAGACTTTGAATGTCTTCCAATACTAAAATTGATTGAAACGGAATGACAATTAATCAGATTAATTATCAATAATTAATTAATAATTAATAGAAAATGAAGTAAATAATAAATCATGCGACAATATTATTAATATTTTTTATACCTCAATCCACATTCCATACATTTATACTTGTATTTTGTATTAATTGCATAATCATGGAAACGACGAATGGGAGGAAGCTCAGGGAATATTTCCACGGCCTTGTTAGCCCTATATATAAAATATAATAAAATAAATAACACGTATAGAAAGCAATTTATTCGAAAACTTACCACGCTATCCATAAATATCCATGACCATTTGACTCGCCGTTTATTATCCAACAAGCAGCATGGCACATTTCATGAATTAAAGTATCTCTTAATCTATTGGGTGCATCTAAAACCTACATAATATTCAAGCGAATTACTTATTAAAATTAATTAACAATTTTTGTACATGTGAAATTGCAATACGTTTAAAACATACTTTAGTTGATAGTTCTATTGTTGCAGTTCTGTAAATACCTGAATGAGGATTTACATATGATCTATTATGACAATAACCAGCTACTTCTCTCATACGAACATTCCATTCTATTATCATATCTTCAGGTAACATTTTATCAAAAATATTTTCATTATATAATTTATACAAATATTTGCAAAGCTCTTCTTTATTCTTTTTATATGATTGCCTATATTTTTTTGCATCTGGATGAGCAATAGTCAGAGGTACTGAATCAGATAAAGAGGCTAAGAAACTATATGTTTTCTTTTTCTTTCTTTCTATGGATGGAAGATGATTTTTATTTTTTGTTGTCCTTGTTGAATTTTTCTTTTTTCCATATATATCTGAAAATTTATTTTCAAATTTATATGAATTAATTAAAAATTAAAGGACTTTAAAAGCATTGAAAAATTTGTTAAACGCTTTTACAATATCATGTTTATAAGTATATGATTTTACTACCTCTTTTATGTACACGTTTTTCAGTAATATCATCACCTGGATCAAATTCACTTGTATCAGAACTGCTTTCTTTATTGTTAAGTGATGATATTTTCTTATCTGATACTTTCTGTACTGCACAATTAGTATTACCTTTGTCTTTTTTATCAGAATCACATATTTTAATATCTCTATAAAAAAAAATTTGGAAATTGTATTTTGTATTGTTGCATGAAAAATAAATAAAAATATATCATACCTTTGAACAGAAGACGATATAGTATTAAGTTTATCAGATACAATATTTGATGCTTGTGGATTTGTTAGAGCAGTATAATACGAACATTCACTTTCATTCTCAGAGGAAGAAGTATTATATTTAGATTGTCTTTGATTTATTAATCTTACTTTGTTATCTGTATTAGATATATTCTGTTTATCTGCCGTCTTTATTAAATAATGCTCATTTCTTGTAGCTTTTCTATAAACAATAAAGATAATACTTCTTCTTCTTCTGAATACTTTTTCATATAATTGATTATTTTTTATTTTAGCAAAAAACTTACCTATCCTTTTGTATAGTTCTATCTCTTTCCATAACAATTGATTGTTTTTCTGTTGGAGTTGAAAGCAAATCACCTGCTTTATTTCTCCATACTTGACCATATAACTTATCTAATATATCGGTACATTGCATAACATTCATATTATTAAATTCCTTTTTATCTTTATTTTCATATTGATTATTTTCCTGGAGAACGTTTGCAAGTGTAGGAGGATCGGGTTTTTCTAAAAATTTATATGATACTATAGGACTAATTTTTGTATTTAATGGAGTAATATAATTATCAATATTTTTAAACTCCATTTTTCCTCTATTATTCGGAGTTTCATATTTCATCTCCAATCTTTCTAAACTACTGTTTCCAGAACTTATACTATTTTTATTGCTTGCAGGTACATTGTTGAATGAAGAATTGTCACTATGAAATCGTGGTAAACTCGTCATAAGCCAATTTGAAATTTCTTTTTTTTTTCTTTCAGATAGAGTTTTTACTTGATTATCTATAGGAGAATCAACAGATTGATTATGTATTTTAGCTGGAGTTACTGTGTTTATTTCAGTAGATTGATTTCTGATATCAGAATTTGAAGGGGTTTCATCTATTATTATAGCAGGTAACTTATTAGATTTTTTTATTAAATTATCATCACTTAATAAAGCTGGATGCATTTCATCATCTAAAGTTTCATCAATTACAGCGTCATTGGTTTTTTTTGTTTTTGGAGATTCATAAACAGCTTTCGTTGACTGTATATTTTTAAATATTTTATTTAGATCACCTTTTGTCATTTGTACACAAGTTTCTGATTTCTTAGAATCATTAGTATTATTATTACTACTATTACTATTATTATTAGTCAATTTATTTAATAAGTTTAAATTCGAAACAGGAGTATATATATTTTCTTTTTTCTCCGATATATTTTGTATCTGTTTGTTCGATTTTTCATCATTACGTTGTTTATTTGTTGGTGTTGAACTAACATGTTTATTTTCAGATGCATTAGTATTTTTATTGTATTCAGAACTTGATGTACTGTTTTTCGTAAAACTATCATCGGAAGTGTAAAATGAATTTTTATCTTGTGAAATAGTTATCTTAATACGATTAGAAAATTTATTAAAATCATTATTTCTCACTGATACATTTCTCCATTTTTCAGTGAAACTTCCATCTTCATCTGAATTATTAGAGATTTCTAAAGCATAATTTTTTGATCTTATTATACTTTTATAAGTGCCTTTTGGTACTACAGGGGAAATAATCTTCTTTTTATCAAAATAATCTAAACTATGATCAAAGCTTGAATCGCTAATGATAATAACATCATTTTCGTTTGTACTTCTATCATTATTATCAGGAAAAATATCTTGAGTATCTTCTATCACAGAATTATCAGTGAGTTTTAATGAAAAGTCTTGAGAACCAATAATTGTCACTTTTAAAATATCTTTCGTAGTTTTATCCATTCTATTAGATACTTTTGGTAAAATCTGATATATAACTGGAATAATAAAATAATTATCACTATGACTTACAATACATAATCAATTTCATTTTACATACCTTTTTTATATTTCTGTTTATCAACAGAAAGTGAAAAAGAGTCATCACTAAAATCACTCATATTTCTTTTTAATTATTTTATCCACTACACGTGTTTTTATCTCTAAATTATGATTACGTCAATATATTTCTTAAAATGTGTACCTACAAATAATTTCTATGTATTAAAAATTTTTATTTAATCTCGAAAAAGATCAAAATTTATAAACAAAGAAGCATACTCATTGAAATAAAAGTATGATTTAAAAAAGAAAAAAAGAAAGCACTATTATTTTTATTCTTTAAATTTAATTTACTTGTTATGGTCCACTTTGTATAATAAAAGCAAAATTTCTTGTTAAGATTATATCAAAGAAAAATAAAATATTCTTTCATATTAAAAGCACGTGCAAAACCATATAAACAACTTCAAACTTGTTCGTTATAAGTCGTATGCAGAACTGCCAACATTGAAAAGAATCCAAGAAAATTATTGCTCGTCGTATTTAATGGTAATTTTTTTTATTAATTCAATAATACATTTTATCGATTTTTCTTTGTAAATCCTCATCAGTATTTATATAAAAAATTTTTCATGAAAATGAATAAAAGTAAAATCAGTATTATATTATTATTTTTCAAGTATTAGTACTAAAGAAAAAATATCACGTTTATCCTATAGGGCAGTATATTAGTTTAATTTAATTTGTAAGAGGGCGTAACTATGAAACATTATCGATTATATTTTTTTTTCTAATTTAAATAATCCTCGTTAAATAATCGTGCAATAAATATTTTTAATTTAATTGTTTTAATATTTCGATTTTTTCACATTAATATTCGCTGTGACATAATCATCTTTTGCTTTATAACTAATTAATCCTTTCCAAACAACAAAGAAATAAACAATGGACACAATAATCAAATTTCTTTTGGAAATAATAAAGTTTCGTTGATACTATTTCGTATTCTCTGCAATGTGCTGTAATTGATAATATCGAGATATTCGTTACACGTCAACGACAGGTATGATTCTGAAAAATTAATATTATTAGTATGTTACGTGCAATGAATGAATATGGAATATTCGTCAAATATATACTGCTATGATTATGAAAAAAATGGTAAAGAAAACTTCGTTTGCGAGTTTTGCATGAGTCATACTTTTTTTTTTCTGAATATTGAAAGAGATAGAAAGAGAGAAAGAGAGAAGAGAGAGAGGGAATTTTTCTAATTTGCCCTGTTATGGCAGAGCAAATTGATTTTTTCATATGTATATTTTCTAAGCATATGTAAATTTTGAAAGTAAATATGTAACCTTCCTTACATACATATGTATATATCTTTTGAGTTATCTGCCGGAAGTACAATCAAATTATTTTTTATAATTTCGCTCAATTTTTGCATGAAGTCCAACGATATTTTGGCGTTAGTTTAAATTGAACGCATTTTACTAAAAAAAAAAAAAAAATTGGCGTATTAAAAATATAATAACCTATATAAAATAGACGTATATATATATGTTCACAATTAAAACCATTTCTTTAAAAGAATACACTTGTTAGAAAAGCAACATATATTTACAGCATAAAACATTTACATGTACGTGCAAGTTCAATTATTACACAATAATGTAAATTTTTAGTGTCCTTTAGTTTACTTATCGTTTGATATGTTACTATTACAATTATAAGTGAAAAACGATTGCTATTCAATTGTAAAATTGCGAACAGTATAATATCGTACGTACGTACATATATATATATATACACACGATTATTGAATGGTATATCTAATAAATAAAAATTTTATACATATAGTTTATTCTTCGATTCATATGTAAGGGCATGAAAGATACATTAGTTTTTTTTTGTATTTAAGATTTAATCTATGAAAATAAACAATTCTCAAGAATTTAATAGATTTCAATTGATCGTTCTTCGTCTTTATTAGAAAAAATCCGAGCGTAACTTGTACAAACGTGACATCCTTACGAAATTTTATATTCATAAAGAAAAATCAAATTGATCCGTCAAAAGAAAATCATCTTTCATACGAAGTATCGAAGGGAGTCAAAAAAAGACCTCATCTGATTTATCTATCTCCATTAATTTTCCTGCGTTTGTAGATATGAATTTATCGAACGAATCCTTCCGTCTAAAAAAATAAGGCCCAAATCAAATGTGTGTTTCTTTTGAAGAGGCCCTTTCCTTTTTGGTCGTCCAACATTTCGTTCGTCCGTTATACGATTGTACGACCAGCGATGATCTTCTAAGTTCTATCGATGCAATGATCGATGGATCATCGTCGATAAATGTCTCGGTCGGAGAACTTCTTCCGTAGTCCTCGTTATTACTATGTAAATTCCTTAAAGATCGTTGTAAGATGTTTGTCTGTTCGCTCGAATTATATCTGAAAATAAATCGATAGAAATTTTTTTCATTCGACTTTTAAACATATCATAAGTGCGACTTGATTTTTTTTCTCTCTCTCTTTTTTTTTTTCTTCCCTTTTGTTTTCTTTCCTTTTTCTTTTACAAATAAAATAGATTCTTCACCTTTTGATACTCCTTCTGTAACGAAAACTCCTTACACGCATCATACGAAATTCTTTTCCAGTTTCACAATCATAAACTGTAACGCTATTATTACCGTCTGATGACGTAGAAAGATTGACAGACGAACACCATAACGTTTCTTTAAATGCTGTCCTATATTTTGCGCTCATCACATTATATAAAATCGGATTAACGGTTGTACTGAAGTAATAAAGGCATCCACTCAATGGATGCAACCATTCATTTATATCGTCGAAGTACGACGTTCGATAGACGTAAAGCAATCGTTGTGCATGAAATGGTGCCCAGCAAACGAAGAACATTATCACAACGGCAACTGAAACATATATATGTACAGAGGATCCTTTTATATTTCATTTTTATACACTTTTTGAATATAAATAATTAAGAAAGAAAATGAGATCATGTAAAAAATGAAAGTATCGAAACGCGTAAAATTATACGAACGATAATAAAAGACGCTTCAATTGCTTTCGAAAGTAAATAAATCTTTGAAAGGTAAATAATTATTGTTAAAAGGTAAATAAATCATTGGTTACGTAGTATTCAAACTTCGTCAAAACTTTTCAAGTTGCAATAACTTTAATTAAGAATGTGTAATAATGAGATTCAAAAGGAGAATCGATTTTCTTTTTTTTTCATATCACACATTCTTTTTCACATTATTTATATTGACTTTGGTTATCGTCGAACACGTGAGACAATTTACAATTTAAAATAATTCATCGAAATATACTATAAATTAGATTACTCTTGAATTATGGATCTCTTACTTACTAAGCATGCGTACGATAGCTTTCCGTGAGTGTGCTTGTCTCGTTTCGCCGTGGACCGAACCCTCGATACTGCGACCAAGCGTGTTTCTTTGTATTCGGAGACACATTCGTACGTAGAGAATCATTATGAACATCATGGGAATAAGAAAGAATATCAAGCAGCTTAATTCGTAAAGAGGAAAATCCGGCATGTTTTGTAAAAACATCGCACATACTGCTGAATCCTCGGAGTATCTTCCTGATTCTGAACGTCGATCAAGAAAAAAAAAAAAAAAAAAAAAATACAATAATGAGGAATGAAATATCTTGTAATGAAATAATACCTGGGGGATATTCGATGTAATTGATAGTGGTGTAAACTGCAAATGGTATTGCAAAGATCAAAGCCACTAGCCAGACTCCAAGAATGAATCTAACAGGTCTCTTTAAACCGCTCATTGTATAGAGATGCAATGGATGACAAATCGCCAAATATCTTTCCAAGGAAAATGCCACTATCGTAAGTACCGACGCGTAAGATGACCTTAAAAAGATTTAAGAAAGGAAAAAAATAGAAGGATTGAAGAAATAGATAATTGTTAATCCCTTAAACAAATTTCATTCTTACATTTCGGATACAAAAGCTCGCAATTTACACATGCACAATCCTAACTGCCATGGATATTGTTCCCAGAATATACTCAATTCATTGGGTAAACCTGTGAAACAAAGGATAAAGATTCAGTCTAGGAGGGTTAATTGACGTCTTATTATTATTTGCTTTGTTCAGATCATTCCTATCATTGCATAATGAATCTTTATAATTCTCTAATTAAAATAACGTTTATTCAATCATTTTGTTATAATAATACGAAAAATAATACGTGATGTGATTTTTCATCGATCAGATCTTAGCTCGGGAAAGATAAAAGAGGTGTCAAAAATATGGTATTATGGAAAGGAATCTATGTGGTCTCAGAATTTCTTTACGTCGTTATTTTTATATTTTATACATACATATATCTATGTACACATGCATACATAGACACATACATATTATATATATATATATATATATTTATCTTTCTTAAAATATTATCCAAAAACGATAAATTGCTTATCTACGTTTGTGTATACATACGCATCTTCTTTATATATTTTCACATACAATCGATAAATCTTTTTAGTTCTCTTTGGTAAGAAATGGAGATTCGAATTTTTATAGTATCCTCTATCTATTTTGTATCTATAGCAGCACCTATTTATTTTGCCAATAGATTTGAAGAGCGATTTATTTCATAAATAAATTCTTAATATAATGCTTATAATATATTGAAAATATGACTATTTTATAATATAATTATACGCTTTGATAGGCAGTAATTTTGTACTATTCAATCGTTTTTTTTTGTCCATACTAATCCATTTGCAAATATTTCATTTTACTCTTCTCTCGCATCTTCATATATCATTAACGATAGCTTTAACAATGCCGTTCAAATTGATGTTCAAACCGAATTACGGAATGCTTATGAAAAATTTCAAAGAATGATATTTGGACGATAGAGAGCTTAGAATATTAGTAAATGATTTAGAAAGTCTTTGATAAATTCTAAATATAATGGGGATATCATTCAATGAATGAGTCTTTAATCGAGGGTTAAAGATCGAATCATACGAGTTCCAAGAGAATTTGCAAGTACAGTGAATCTCGAACATAACATTCCATATCTTTTGATGACAGAAATTTATGACATCAAATAGAATGCGTACAAACGAAATGCAATATTAAAATTTCCGAAGAAAAATAAAAGAATAGGAATAGAATTAAGTTTGAGGACATTAATCGAGTCCAAAAGTAAAATTATAATGAAAATTTTTGTTTAGATATTTTCTTGTTTGAAATTCTAATATTTTTTTTTTCCTCTCCCTCGAAGCAAAATTATTGAAATTATTTAATTAAAAAATAAATAAGAATCGTGAGAAATGAAGAACATTGCAAACAAATATCTCTCTTAAGGTCAATGCCATTATCGTTACAATGTTTTAAAATTCGCATATAAATTAAACTCGATTTTTTCTGAATGGAAACAAGAGGATCGTTTAAAGTGAAAAAAACTCAAGTATCAAGTTCGGGAAAAAATGAGGGTAATATAAAAAAAAAAGGACTTTATTCAAGAATACAAAGAAATTTATCTATGCCCAAAAAATCTGTGACAGTGACTGATGCAATTGTTCATGAAGATCATGAAAAATATACGCGTATATATATGTTCGTATCTATGTGGTTTTATTTTCAGAAAAAAAAAAGAAAAAAAAAAAAAAAAAACAATACATATCATTCTTAAAATTTCTTTTCAAAATCTATAAACATCTACAGTATCTATAAACATTTATGTAAGTCTATAGAAATTTGTTGGCTATTTGAGAGCGTCAAAATTCTTTGAATTTTGTGAAAGTTAAAACAAACAAACTCTTAGATAGAAGTACTCACCTAGAACCAATAAAAGAAGATCCGAAATGGCCAAATTAAAGAGATAATAATTCGTAGCGGTTTGCATCGTCGGTTTCTTCTTAATAACAATGCATGTCATGATATTCCCGAAAACGCCGGTAACGAAGATAATAACGTAAACAAAAGTAATAGGTAAAACAAGTTGAAGCGGCAAATGCTTCGAACCCAATTTCTTTTGCAAATATTCGGATTCATCCAGATTCATAAGTTTCGTGAGATTGGTTAAAGGTAACGCGTAACGGCTTGATATATTCATGCCTCTTAAATATTGGGTTTCTTTTTTCTCTTCGTTGTTGTGCGAATAAATTAATCGAATTAACGAAGAGGATGTATAAGAAGAGAAAGAGAATTCTTTTAGTTTTTCGTTCTCAATTTAATAATAATTTGTTCAATCATCGTGAACACACATTATAGAATAAATAAAATTTTTCATCGAAAATAACGATAAATTGAATTTTTTAAAATTATCCATCATTTACTTGATTTCGAAAGAAATTATGTCAGTTTGGATCACGATCGTTTCATTTTTTCAAATTAATATTCCATTTAAAATTCACGTTCCATTGAAAAACTTTTTCGTGACATCATCACGAAACCGGATCACGAATATCTAGACGAAAATTCATAGCTTTATGATTTTTTTATTTTTCAAAAATTATAGTTCGAAGATACGCGAATCAAATATGATCGATTTACGAGCGTTCTACTCGACACCCCACGAACAAGTGATGAGAACACTGAGCGAGCCACTACTGGTATGACTTACCTACGCGCCCCATCTACCACGCATCCAACCCTTAGCTTTAATTCAAGAGAGTCTGCGAATTGAACTATTTTACTCGTAAATAAAATTGCGCGCATGTCACGATACGTTAAGGGCATTCACGGTATTCTCTTTAAATAAATTATTCTAATAATCGATCATTCCTAGTTCTTAGCGACAAGATCCATGAGACTTTTCTTTTTTTCAATTTATTCTTTTTTATTTTATTCAATTTTTTAATATCCGTTTCTGTAATATCATTTATTCGTATCCTTATAAAATCATCTCATTAAGAATTAGCTTGAATTTGAGTTTGTGTAATAAATATCATTATCCCCTTTAATCAATAACAATAAATCCAAAACAATGGACAAATAAATAATAAATCGTACGATAATCCTAAAAATTCATCAGGATTAGATATCAGATATAATGTGTTACATATCAGATAATCATATATAAGGTATTATTTAATACACATTATATACATTTACCACAGGATAATAAATTACTTTAATTGATTATCAAACTCTCGTACTTCAATGGTGATAGATCGATTAATCAAACTGTGGAGTTAATCGTACACGTTGTTTTTAGATGGAATCTCTGCTGATATCAATTTTTTTCACGTATTTGAAGTACCAACGAGTTATTTATTACCATCCATACGATGATAGCTATAATCACATCAAGAAATGATTTTTATTTTAGAATTAATTGTTGAAGAAGAAAGAAGTTCGAAGGAACTTCTTAGAAAATTATAAAGATGTAAACGTGCGAACTCAATGCAAGTAATAAAAATATAATATTATAATGTATTCATGAATTTTGAAACCCTAGGGACATTCTCTCGACTTACTTATTTCGTATTCATTTTAAATATAATACGTATTATGCAACGGTATCGTAAGATACAGTTTATTATGAAATTTTTTTTCCTACTCTGCATCTCGTATTTTACTAGAAAAATTTCTAACAAACTTTTATCATTATTTATAAGCCATTCGAACGATTCGATCGAGGATCATTCGATATTTATATCTTTCTTCTTCTTTAAATCTTTACGCAGGAAAAAATGTATCACATCCTTTTGAGAACTATAAACAAATTGCCTATAGTGAAGATAAGTAATTTTTCTTTTCCTATCCGGAGTCATTTCTTTCGCGTATGTAGGTAAATGGATTTGAAACCAATCTACGTGAAAGTGACCGCCTTTATACGATGGCTTGAAAACTTGAAACTGAGATTCCAGAAGTAGGATTACCGTGCCGATCATGAGAACAGAAAGAAGAAGCTGCAAAAGTTTTTCACGTGAATTTCAACAAATGAATTATTCCGATTTCTTTGGGACAATTTTATCAATTTTTTTCGAGATATTATCGGCTAATACATTTTCTCAATATTTATTTCTTTTATAAATAAAATAATAAAAACTATTTTGCGAACTGTTCGAGATCGATTCAAGATATTAACTTCCGAAGTAAAAATAAGATATGTGAAACGTAATCATAGAATTTTTTTTGCATTCGCTACAAAAAACGATGTTATCAAAGATTAAGAATCAACGATATCGTCGGTTCATTTGGAAAAATTATATAAAATGATGTGGAAGTAATGACGGAGAGTAGTATTTCATTTCGAAGATGTTAGCAACGTTTATCGATTTATCCAACACTTTGATAATTCTCTTTGGACAAACTTTGTTCAGAGTTTCCCAAAATCGCGTACTATATTAATTTTGCACGTAAATGAGTTAATTTATCTTATATATAGATGCGAATTTGTCAATTAACGATATCAATTGTTATAATTTCGAATTATAAAATTTATTGTACGAAACGTACATCAAAGTATGATAAATCAACGATCATTGATTTTCTCAAACACGAGTTATTTTACAACAATATTCTAATTTTACAATAATATTTTACAATTTCTCTCTCTCTCTCTCTCTCTCTCTCTCTGTCTCTCTCTTTCTCTCTCTTTTTTATAATTTGAATTGATTATTAATCAATAAAAAGACAGACGCATGAATATTTTTGTAAATAAATATTATCATTCTTTTGCTCGCTATTATTCGCCCTTTAGTCGTATTAATCAAATTACAGCACCATTTCTTGAATTTCACAGTGCGAATTTTTTTCTCTTTCTTCTTTCACAAAAAACATAATACGCTGCGGACATATGAATATGGACGAAAACGAGAATTTAGGATTCTCATACGAGCGGTGTATGAAAATAAAGGCATTAGTAAAGGTCAGTCCGTTCTCGAGAAGATATAAAACTATAAGAATAAATTTAAAGTTGATTCCAATATTATGATTGGATTGTAAACAAATATATATATAAAAACAAAAAAAAAATAGAGAGAGAGAGAGAGAAAGAGAGAGAGAAAGAGGAAGAAAGAGAAAGAGATAGATTTTATTTACCAAATACCAATATCGAAAAGTTTCTTCATTTTCATGCGAATTCATTTTCACGTCTGTAATAGAATTGAATTCTTTCCATCTAAATCTTAAGGTAATATATTATAAAATAATAAGATAATTATTAACGATGTATATTGTTATTACCAATATCAGTGAGCGTTTTTTAAATAATCGCAAGACAATATCCAGGAGTATGCATTCAAATGCATATTGTCAAAATAAATTCGATTATTGTCGCTTCCTTTAAAAAGGATTAGAAGTACGGGAAAAATTGAGTTCTTCATCTTTTTTTAGCGTGTACGTTTTCTTTCGTAGCATTTTCAATAAGTGACAAATTGAATCAATTATATGTTACATTGCTTAGGTTAGATTTTGACAAAAATTTAGTTGTGACAATACGACAGGATTTGAAATTAATGAGAACGTTGATAACAATGAAGTTGACTTTTTGTAAAAGAAAAAAAAAAAGAAAAAAACGAAGTATGTACATATGTCCTTCGAGAATGCGTATTATATATAAAAAAATATATTAATCGAAAGAAAATCTCATCGACTTGATCTAACGAAAAATGAAAAGCATATTAAAACGATATAAATATTCGTCTTAATGCATTAGTATTTAAATGTAGAATATGATCTTTTTGTTCGTTTAATTTGATAATAAATCAAGATCGATATTTGATAAGAAATCGTTCGTCGAATCAAAGATCAATCATTTCGACAGAAAGGTATTGATCGATCATTTTTTGTATTTAAATTTCACGTGTCTTCTCCAGCTTTCCTCTGCATTAAACGTGGAAAACGTTTTATGTCATGTTATTAATATATACAGTTTGCGATTCGGTATATAGCGGATAAACTTTGAAATGTATTGGCAGTGAAGCATGACACGCTATATTCTGCATGCAACAGAAGAGAAAAGGAAGAGAAAGAGAGAGAGAGAGAGAGAGAAAGAGAGGGAGTATAAACTAAATGGGTTAAAGCTTAATGGTTTTGCTTGGCTTTTGCTAAAACTTCGATTGGCTGTGAAGAGTGACTGCTTCAAAGAAAAGAAATTATAAATGTGAAAAGAAAGGCAAAAGAAAATAAAGAAATAATTTTCCGTAACAAACATGATTCCTTTGCTATACCGTAATATTAAATTAAGAAAACATAGCTGTCTTTGCAGTAGTATTTATCGTTAAATTGATCGATTGATAAAAAAGACCACAAAGGATGTTTTCTTGTTTTTTTTTTTCCTTTTTTTTTTATATCGAATAGAATTACTAATAATTAAAATCGAATAAAATTAATAATAATGTTGATAGTAGTTAGAGCAAATATTAGAAAGATTTTTTTAAATGATTGATTTAATGAAAAAAAAAAAAAAAAAAAAAAAAAAAAAAAAAAAAAAAAAAAAAAAAAAAAAAAAAAGAGAGAAAAAAAAATAGACATTCCGTTCATCAATACTGACTTACTTTTGTACTTAAAAAATTTTCGAAAATATCATTAACAAAATATATAAAGAAACCAAAAAAAAAAAATAACGAATGCTAACTTCTTTATGTGTATATATATATATATAAATAAAATTAACAACTAGATTTTTCTTCTAATAACTTAAAGCAAACAGAAGAATCAGAATCTTCGCCGATTATTAAAATACACGATTATAGTCATTATCAGAAACTACTACTGGCCGTTGAGATCGATTCTTTCACTATCTCTTTCGATGTTGTACTTTCCTCACTGCTCCGTTCCTGCATAATAGGATGTCCGTTGTTATTTAGAAGGGATTTGGATGAATCCTGATTCCTAATCTTTCGAATTTCATCGTAATGGTTGCGCATAGACCTATCTCGAACAACTCGATCTCGATTTGAAGAAAATCGAAAGACTTCTTTCGCCTGGCCAAATGTATACCTTAAAAAATATTTATATATACATACGATATCTTAATATTATTATTAATTAATTAATTTATTTTTATGTTCATTTATTTTATTCTTATTTATACTATTTTTTCATCATCGAACAAACCTCATTGAGCACGTAAAACGTGGTAGATGAGCCTCTTCGCTAGATTTACATTGGCAAAGATCGGGTGGCTTAATGGTCCAGCTTTTCCTTAATTTCCGTTTACAGCAAATCGTTTGCTTAAAAGCCTCTCTGTACTTTACGCTCATCATATTGTAAAGAATTGGATTTACCGTGGTACTAAAGTAGTAAAGGCATCCGCTCAAAATATAAAGCCATTCGTTTAAATCAGGATAATAATCAGAATCCTTTGCATAAACGTAAAGCAATCTCTGAGCATGAAAGGGTGCCCAACAGAGAAAAAACATGACGACGACGACACCTATAAAAAAGAAATAATCTTTTGTATCGTATACTTCCATAATACTTCTAAATTCAGAATTTTAATAAGAGGAACGACAATGTGTACTTAACATTCTAATGGTGGATTTTCTAGATTGAACCTGTCGCGTTTCTCCATGAATCGAGCTGTGAATGACCGGCCCAACCGTATGTCTCATACTCCTTTTTATTTCCAAACCCATCCTTGTGTAAACAACGAGAATAACAAGCATCGGTAAAAAGAAAAAGATGATGCAGCTTATCTCGTAGAGCGGAAAATTCGGCATGTTATTAGATAGTATCGCACAGATCGCTGACTCGGCGGAACAATTCCCTGATTCTACGTACATACAAATGTTGAAATTAATTATTATTCTCATATATATATATATATATATATATATATATATATATATATATATCTTATAATCTTTTGAACAATATAATAATACGTGTTAAATTTATATAGGTACTATTATAGAAAATAGAATAGATATGAAATATCATATCTTTTTCGATAATTAAAATACAAGCTATTATTTCTTTATTAACTTGGAGGGTACTCGACATAGTTGACTTTAGTATAAATAGCGAACGGTATTGCTGATACTAAAGCAATAGACCACGCGGCGAAAATAAACCGTATTGGTCTTTTCAGTCCACTCATAGTATAAACACGAAGGGGATGACAAATGGCAAAATATCGTTCCATGGAGAAAGCCACTATCGTGAGAACTGACACGTAAGAAGACCTGCGAAAGAGATGTAGAAATTAAGATAAGAGATTGTTAAGGAAATGGTGGATGAGAGAAGATCGATCTCTTACATTTCGGATACATATGCTCTAATCTTGCAAAGTGCAACTCCCAAAGTCCATGGATATTGTTGCCAGAATACGCTGAGCTCATTCGGCAAACCTATAATTTTCGAATAAATTCGAATATTAAAATATCATTTTGCATTATATATTTTTGATCGATATTTTTCTGTATTATTTTTTTCGAATTTTTTTGTGAAATTAATTTTTTTCTCCAATAATTTAATCTTTTATTATGTAGATAAACACGTAGTATGTATTTTACTAATAACGAATAGTACTAACGTGATGGTACAGCTAATTGATATTAAGGATAATTTTCATTTGATGATACAAATTTGACAGAGATTTGAGATGTCTCGTAATGACGTAAATAGAAGCAACTTTACTATCGATAAATAAGACACCGACGAGATAAAATCGCGAGTGTACAGAGCACACACAAAGCTGAGATTAATTTAAAACTGTTATCTTCATTTCACATTTAGGAGAGGAAAATATATCGCGTATTGAAATCAAACGTCTCAATTTGTAAAATATCTCAATTTCCAACGATCTTTCTCCTTCGAAACAAAAAAAAAAAAAAACGATAAAAGAAAATAAGATCTGCATCAGGAATTTGCGTCATTGTAATCTTTACTATCTCGTTTAGTTTTACAAATGTTCACGACCTTAAAAATCTAATCGCATTATCGTTGTCACGAACGTGTTTTAATCGATTATCAGAAATTATCGTTCATCAAAATGTTTCCCTTCTTAATTTGAGTAAAGCAATTCGAACGATGAATATCGTCATTCGTTTGACGTAAAATGTACAAAATCAAGATAGATAGGCAATAGATAGAGAATGAAAAAGTAATATACCTCGACGATTCAATTAATTTTTATTAACGTTGGCTTATTATGTAACGTGAAAAATTTTCTTTTAAATGCACCATCAAGGAAGATGCAAAGAAAGCTTACCGAGTATAAGTAGAGTCAGATCGGAAATAGCCAAATTGAAGAGATAGTAGTTAGTTGAAGTTTGCATCGATGTATTTTTTGCAATAACCGTACAAGTGGCGATATTACCAAAAATTCCTGACACAAAAATTGCCACATAAACGGTAGTTAGAGGCAATACCATACTCATAGGGAGATATTTCGAACCTAATATTTCATTAAGATATTCGGCTTCCGTCATATTTTTTATATCCATCTTGGTCCAAAAACCGTCTTCGTCAAAAATTGCACAACCCATCTTGGCAAATAAATTTTCCTTGAATATCACAATGACGACGGTAGGATGAAATTAGATTCTTCGAGAATGTCACTCTGTGTTTTTCATTCTAACTTGAAAACTGGTAACGTCGCTGATACTTGAAAGTTAAAAGGATTAGGCTTTCGTTCGAACAGCAAATCCAAATTCGAAAAGATCCTTATCGAGCTGGCAATGTGTCTTCTTGTTGAACATGAATGATCATATTATTTTTTTTACTTTTAATTCTAATATCATCGTTGTTTTTCGTTTGATGACGATTGGACTGATGAGTAATTGCATTTTATCGGTAAAATGATCCTCTTATACATTCGTTCGATCGTATTCTCTCGTGACACGTTTTTAATAAATAAATCTTTTCTACTTTTTTTTTTTTTCTTTTTTTTTTATTTTTATTTAATAAACAAAATTTCCTTGTGTATGTCAAGAAAGACCAAAAACAGATTCTTGGGAATAACTAATGTTATGATGATCGCGTTTGCAAACAATTAGAATATCGAAGGTGACCGTTTCCCTTTGCAAGCTTTTGTTATAGAATTCCCCCACAATCTTCGACGACAGGCGAAAACACACTGACTTTAATAATCGGTAGTGATAACATTTAATGTCATCATGTATCTCTCTAATTTCGCCGATAAAAGATAAGTTCTCTTATTCGATTCGAAATAACATAAACTTTCTAAGATTAATTTATGCATTGTACCTCGTATCGTTATAGTATATCATAATCTTATCTATACTACCGTCATTTCTTAATCTTATAAGATATTTTATTTTCTCATATAAAATTGTCTCGTCGATTGCCGTACAATAAAACGTGCAATTTGCAAATGTTTTATAAAATACTCTATAGTTCAGATAAAACGTGACGTAAAATATTTTCCAATATCGATTTTAATCAATTTATTGTAGATTAATTTTTTTAAATAGACGAAGGTAAAAATTATATCATATTAGGCTTAATTTGTACAATAGTTTATATAATCTAATTATGAAAAACTGCAATGATTATTATCATTATACCATATACATTCAACAATTTTTGTTTTGTAAACAATTATCGAAGAATTATCAATTGCCAAAATACTGAAACGAATCTTACTATTTTTTTTTTTATGATAAAATAATAATTTTTAATTGTAATAAAATAAGATAATTTCTTAATTGGATTAGTCAATTGAATAATAGGACACGACAATAAATTCAATTTATATACAACTTTTTTATAAAGTCTTACAAAATACCTTATATTAATTACTAGTCGGATTCATTAGAACTTGTGTCCGAATCACTTGATCTATCAGAAACATAAGTTATCCTATTTGTATTTACAAAAAGTTCTTCCTCTTCTTTATCTTCTTCTTCATCACTATTATCTTTTATCGTTTTTTTAGATTCCTTTTTATTCAAGACTTCGTCAAATTCCAATGGCCAACATTTTTGTACATGGTACCACTTTATATGTTCCTAAAAAAAAAAAAAAAACAATAGTATTATATTTTTAATTGCATTTACATATATACCTATAATGAAAAAACTTACTCGTGTTAATATCTTAACTATCTCTGCTTTGACCTTATCGCCTTCGGCAATGGGTTCAACTAATACGAAGTCTCCCCTTTTTATCCAAATGTGTCGTCTAAACTTCACTGGCATTGATACAAGATATTGTTCACCAACTGAGTTTACAATCTCATGGAGATTATTGCCGCGCGATTCGACAACTTTGACGATAGATTGAGATTTTGTTGGGATACTTAAGTCTTCCACCTCCTTCACAACATGTTTACGTTTTGTTGTTTTTGACATTTTCACTCTGATAATTTATAAATGGCGACTGTAATACATTGAAAATATAATAATTAAATAAAATTCATATTTAAAGATTCAACTAAATATAATATTTCGATTCGATCGATTTTTTTTTTTTTTTTTTATTATTAACTTAAACTCGTTTTAAATTGAATTAAATTATTTTTCGTTTTCTATTTATCATATTAGATATTTTTTTTATCACGTTTAATTCGATGCCACGATCCTAAGGATCCATCAGACTTTTCCAATGCTGCATATATATCTAAACTTTCTCCAACAGGGATACTATATCCATTTTCAAGTCCATAAGGATTTGATGGTGTTTTACAATCTTGACTTGATTCTTTTCGAAGAACCGTATCTACTTCTACAGATGCAAAAAAAGCTACTGACATTGGTAAATCATTCATACCAAGCCTCAAGGCACAGAAAGATCTTGTCATAAGATTTGTTACGTGCATTGCAAGAGCAGCATTGTATTTGTATCGTGATGGAACTAAATATCTTATTTCATCGTGAAAAGAAAGACAAAACCTTGCATTATCTTGCATTAACCATCTCATTGAAACCAACATTAAATGAAGAAAATCAACTGCACCACTTTGTACTACCCAATTAATTTTAGTTGGTAAATATTTTTCTTCTTCGTCCTCACACTCTAATGCTCGACTAAGTCTACAGTTTAAAAATGGCGTTACAGGTTTAGGATTACAAGCTATTTCCTCAAGTCTATTAAACATTGCTGATTCTGAACCACCAACCCATTTACTCTTGTTAAACATTTCCATAAGTGATTTTTGAAAAAGTTTTGCTATCTTCATAGCTTCATACAATGTATATTGTCTATCCTCCAAATCTTCGTTAATATACTCAGATTTCAATGTATATACTTTGTTACCCTTTGTCAAAGCAAACATTTTTCGAGATTTAGATATGGCATTACTTTCTGTCATGGTAGGATTAAATTGTTTTAACAATCTTTCAGCAAACTTTTGGCCGGCACCATAAATTCTTGCATAATTGATAATCTTTGCATGATCTCTAGATATTCCCACAGCTTTTGCAGTAACACTATGCATGTCTGTTCCATTTGATTTGTTTCCTATTAAAGTCATCCATCCAAAAGGTGTTGCTCCATGCACTTTCTTATAATATGCATCTCCAACGATTGATGCAATCCATAATTCTTGACTGTCAACATCAGCACCAACTATGTTATATCCTGGTGGAGCTTGTATCATGGATCGTAATTCAGAACCAATACGTTCGGCATGTGCATTAGAAGCAGTCATCCATGTAGGTTCTACTGCTCGCCTTGTTAATGTTCCACAGACAACTACTTGTGGAATTATTGCACCAAATTGTGTATTGTGTTTCTTTGAACTACTTGGCAAACAATACTTTTCAAACCAGACAACCATTTGGGACATGATCCTGTCTCTGTTGTTTCTCCAATAAGATACCTTTCTTGCTATTTTCAAAATTTGTGCTGCACTTGAATCTAATCCAGCAAGTACATTATCCGAAAACTTGTTCAAAAAGTCTTTAGCCAAGGGATTACCGACATTGAAATTAATACCATCTTTGTGTGGTAATTTGAAGAAGTAACAACAATTATCTAAAATAATATCGCACCAAATTCCGGTACCTTTGTATGTAGTATCATAATCTGTTGTACTTTTTCTCTTGTATTTCCAAAATTCTGCTTTATAAAGATCGTTTTCTAATTTTTTATTCAGTATTAACATTGTATCATCTGTAGAATTTCGATAATTAGTTGTTTCTGGTAAAGGACATTGATTTAATAATTGTTTTAGAGGTAATATAGTTTCAATATTTGGATCATTGTTATATGGTACTAATATACCCCAACCATGTTTCTTAATATAATGCAAAGGATAATTTTCCCATGTTAAATTTAAAAGTTTTGGAGTAATCTGCGTAGATGTACTTATATGTTGTGGTCCAGGTTCCCAATTTTCATCCTCATTTTCAGTTTTTTTAGGACAAAGTTTTCTATACCAAGCAGGATATCCAGCCATATATGGTAGTTTACCTGGTAACAAGTATTTTGTTTCTTCTAGATAAGAAAATTCTTTTTCCAAAGGATCCTCGTCTTCATCATCTGTCAAATATGTTTCTGAATTTATGTCACTAGTTACTTTATTATTATTTTCTTCGATTTTTAGTTCTTGTAACTTTGCCTTAGACAAAGAAATTTTCATCTTAATATTTTGAGTACTCCAATCCTGATCCCACATCCATAAATCCTCTTTATATTTTTCATTATGCATTAATTGACAAACAGTATTTGCTCTTTTAGTGAGTATAACCTTAGATTCATAATTTAAGTCTTCATAAGTAGACTCTGATGCTTCTAAATATCTTTGCCAATTGGAATTTACTGGAAGATATGTACAACTAAGCTCTAACATTCCAGCGAATGTAACAGGATGTGGAAATCTTTCTTGAAAGATTGGAAATAATTCACAAAAGACATTATATGTAGCCAATACATCAGAAGCACAATAAGACATTAAATCATTAAATTGTTCTCTTATGTCATCCAAAGATCCTTCTACAAATATATTTCTTTGTGTTTTGCTGATATTTTTTCCACAATAAAGTTTATATACTTCAGTCAAACTATTTGTTGAAGTGTAGTTCAACCATTTTTCAGTATCATGTTTGTGTTTTTCACTTCTTAAAATTGCTCTCTGATAACTATTAAGTCCACTGACACATATATGTAATGACATTGTGTCTATAAAACGTGTTCCAGTAGAATTTAACCAATATTGTTCTTTTATTCTTATTCTATCATATGAAACATTATGGCCTATAATGATCTTTGGTTTTTTATGAGAATTCTTCAATTTTATACCATAATCATCTGCATTACTTTCTATAGGAATTAACATATTGGAAGTAAAATAATTAGTACCAAAATTACCTTTTACATTTTCTATAAGAGTTGGTGATACCCATCCATACCATGCTTTTTCTGTAACAGCTGTAGCTATCGTAGGTAATGGACCTTCTTTTACACAAACTTCTACGTCCAAAATCATTGCATCTTCTAAAGGATAATTTACACTTTCTGCACCATCACTGGTATATCTAGTCCAACCTTTTTGAAACAACCATTTTGAAGGTATTTCTGGTATCTTAGTAATAATTTTATATATGATCTTTAAATAAGGTGAGATTTGTTCCATAGCAATATTATAAAAGTGTTCTTCCAAGTCCTTTCCTTTCAAAGGTGGTAAACGTATATCAACGTCTGATATTGCCTTTACATCTTCTGTATTTATTCCATATTTATGTAAATCTTTTTTTATATTTTCTATTTCTTCTTGAGAAAGACATACATGGTTTTCATTTTTATTGAATAAATGCTTATGCAATGGTTTAGAAAGCATTTGCATATTAATTTCATTAAATCTGGTAATATTATGAATATTGTCATTGTTACTGTCATTTATAGTTTGCTTTGTATTTTCCTCTTGTATATCTTTTCTATGTTCGCTATTATAATCATTTTGTGTACTTTCTGATGAATAGGTTTGTTTCATCAACGGAGATAAAAATGCTTGTTCGAATTTGTTAGGTATTTTGGGTTTATTTGCAACATATTTCTTAGATATATTTTGATTTTCTTTATATGAAGATAAAGATGAGAAATCCATGAAATTCGTATCACTTTGATCGTAAATAGTATCGTTGTTATTAGAGATTACATCATTAGAGGTTAAGGCGATACTACTATTAATTTTAATATTTTCCAACTTTTTGTTATGTAAAATGCATCTTTTTTTGACAACTTTTTTATGATTTTGTGTATCAATCTTAATATTGGTGCATTTATGCCTTATGCAAATGTGAATAAGACGTATTTTTAATCGCATCTTAAAACGTGTTCGCAGCCTTACACTTTTTCCAAAATATATAAGTATCTTTAACACGTGACACGAAGTTATGAAAAAATTTGAAGAGTATCTTACCTATATAATAAAGTAATTGAATTATATTATCTTAAAAATTTTTTATCAGAACATAATAGTTATGTAAAATAATATGTTGAGCTTATATTAAAAGTTTCACTAGAATATATCAAAGTAGACTTGCGTAAACAATTTATATACCAATTCTCTTCCATAAGGTTAAAATATAGAGTTGGACGCATGGAAGGGAGCTTACATATATCTAGGAATAATTAAGTCCATCCATCTGGAAATTATTTATCCTTTTATATAATAAATTCATCTTGTTTGTTTAGTTTTACAATTTTATTGTAATTAATGTAAAATAATTTATTTATAAGGCAAAGAAAATAAATCAGACAAAAAAATTTCCACGATTCTGATTGGCTGTAATCTAACGTTCGTTTCACATATAAAAATAGTTCACTTTTTGGACACGCAGTAATTTCTATTTAGTCTTTGTTAAAGGTAGATTTTAATAAACTAAACAATCATTATTTAAAAGTAAATTATAAATTTTTTTTAATGTTTAATTGTGTGTCAATTAACGTTAATATTACTATTATCAACTTTCGCTAGTAAATATTATTCTGAATATTATTAAAAGTTATTATTCTGTTGTAATAGATGGAAACATATAGAAGTAACCTCAATTGTGTCATTGCAATTTTATTACTTTTGTTTTTAATAATATCGTTTGTGAATTGCCAACAACAATAGAAGAAATTTTAATTTTTTATATGTGCTTTTATAGTTTTTATGTATTTTTAATAGGAAAAATTCCTTTCAATAGGGTATATGTATCGAGTAATACATTCGACAAATTATAAAATTAATAATAACGTATATCTTTATAGTACATCGTGCAAAAAATCATAAAAAGTGTTTTAATATAATTTTATAAAGTAATTTAATATAATTTTTCGATTTGTTGCAGAGAATTATCATGGCTACAAGAAAGTATATTATTTTAAAAAATTTTAATGTTTCCTTGACGCTAATTGGTTCTCAAGTTCGCGCCTGTCTTCTGTTTGCGACTCTCTTTTGTTCACGCCTGCGCAGTTTGCAGTTCATTCCCAACGAATTTCGAGGTATGCGCTATCAATGGTTATTAATTAATTAATTAATTAATTATATCAT